CAACCTAGTTGACAGAGTTAACTGACACTGATTTGATGACCTATTATATACACTAATATGATGCAATTCATTGTATGATGCATTGTATTATTATTAAAACATATTTGATATTTTAGAAACAGTCAATGAATAATGAGAACCTGCATCATAATTTAATAATCTCTAATCTGTATTTATTTGTCTATCCTCATCCCCCAATACATCTTCCTACACCTTATTTAATTGATTTTATTTTTCTATTGTATATACTGTGTCTAAACATCCTCTATTTTCTTGTATGTGCAATTTTTCCTGCTACTGGAAATACAATTTCCCGAAGGGAGTAATCCCAAGGGATTAATAAAGTCAAGTCTAAGTCTAAGTAAACATGTAGTAAATGAAGATGCTTGTTCACTGGTATTTTTTTTTTTTTTTTTACAAATTTTTATTAAAAAAAAATACGTTTTGAAATTCAGTCTGTTGCGCTTTTTTGATATTAGTTCTCCAGCTGTGGAAAACACCCGCTCACACGGCACAGATGAAGCTGGAGTGCACAAAAATTTTAAGGCCAGGCGGAAGAGGTTTGGATGAACCGTCCTTTAGTTTTTCCAATATACAAGAGGATCCTGGGACCTCGCAATATTGCCCTCTGCCATGTATCTCTGCACCTCAAGGATGGCATCAGCTGTGGCACTTTTGGTCTGCCTCCCCACTTCGAGATCAAAATGTTTCCAAAGGTCATCTTAAAAAAAAAAATAGTATTTTAGTACATGAATCAAGTGGAAACTCTGAGAGGAACAGGATGAAACAAGGAAATTAAAACAAATACCTTATTTTCCGAAATGACATCAAAGTGGTCCCACACGGCAGAAACCTTTCTTTTTGCTTGAGGAAGCTCCATAATTTTTGATGAATTTTATATTCGCAAAACACGCAAGATTGTTTTGGCAGATGCATCTCGTTGGCAGATGCGCATCCTTATAAAGGCTTGTCAGTCAGTTCGAAACATCGGTCACGTGACCGATACAGGAACTGTTTCGGTCACGTGACTTTTCCGTAGCGATACACACGTCGACACAGGTTTCGCTCTATGAGACAGACACATGCGCCGACGCATCGGTGTTGCCCGACCCATCACTACCAAGCGGGGTGGCGAGGGGTGCTGGTGCCTATATCCAGCAGTCTACAGGCAAGAGGCGGAGTACACCTTGGACAGGTCGCCATTCCAACGCAGGGGAACACAGAAACAAACAGGACAAACAACCATTCACGCACACTCACACCCAAGGAGAATTTAGAGAGGCCAATTAACCTAACAGACATCTTTTTGGACTGTGGGAGGAAGCCGGAGAACCCAGAGAGAACCCACGCATGCTCAGGGAGAACATGCAAACTTCATGCAGAAAGACCCCAGGCCGGGAATCAATATGTCATTATAGAAAACATAATTACTGCACAAAACATTTTAAAATACACTAGATTAGATGTTAGATGTACATATATATAGATTAACAGACAGACAGACAGGGAAAAGGGAATACGTTTTTTGTCTAACTGTCTAACAGCTGAGGTCTAACATCAATTGTATCGTTGAACTACAATTAATATAAATCATAATAGTTAAAAATCGGAAGGCTTTTACGAATGGAGAAAACATTCTTTTAAACAAGACTTTCTTCTTATTGTTCTTTTGTCTAAAAGTTCAACTAGCACAGAAATCACAACTTCGTCTTGAAACCGTTCCTGTTGTTTTACTGCTTCTCTGATCAAGTCTTTTGGTGTATTGTAAATACCAAGAAGATGGATAAGCACATACTTTGCAAAAGCCTCAGTGTGTACTTGTTCGATTAAGTCAATGTATCCTCCGATACCATGGGGAGATGTCAAGTAGAGACAGTTTCTTTTTAATTTCATCCGAATTCTCCACCAGCAACTGGCTTCTGGATTCACTGGGGTATTTTTCTATCAGGATATCAATCAATTTGAAAATGCTGCTGTGTTTGTAAATCCTGCCATCTTCCTGATCACTTATGTCTGAGCTAACAAAAGCTTTAGAACTCGCTTGTGTAAAATTTTCAATAGTTTTTCTTCCACAAGCTGTCATTTTGTAAATTTTCTTGTCCAAAATCTCTTCAGATTCATTTGCCTCTTTTAGTTTTTCAAACAATCTATCCAGTTCTGTTTTGATGGTTTCCAAATTTAAAGTTAAACCAGACTGGTTTTCCACTGATATTTCAACCCGTGTGCCCTTGGGTAACTTACTCGTTCCTCCTTTTGACAATTCAGGCTCCATTTCTGGTGACACAACACCAAGGCAGGTTTCTTTTTCTTCTGTTGTCTCTGGTTTTATTCCTGAAGACATTGAAGACATTTATTCCTGAACTCACTTGTGTAAAAATTTTAGCAGTTGTTCTTCCACTGAAGTGCTAAGAACGAGTGAGGCTCATTTCAGATAGCCCTATTATATAGTCTAAGTGTAGAATGTAAAATGACGTCACAGACCTATCAGAGAAACAGAATGCTCACGCGTTGCTTTTTCACATGATGTCGCGGTTCGCAAACCTGAGGAGGAATTCGGTCTCTTTTTGTAACAGGCGTTTATGGCAGGCCATTTTGACATTTATTAGGAGCGCTGTCCTCTCTGTTGTTCCATTTGTTGACCTCTAAAATAAGATTCTTCCTAGTCCTATCTACATTCCTATTAGCCAGAATTGTACATATAGATATCCTAAATTACATTGTTGCTAGCAAAAATTACATTTCAGGCTGCCAAAAACATAATTGTCGAAAAGTAATTAATAGGAATCCTTATATTTGCTAATGTCTAGCGCACTCAAAGCAAGTAAAGAATCAAATAACTAAAGGTTATTGGTTCCTGATTTAAAAAAAAAAAATGAATTTTTGTGTCATATCCGTAGTTATCTGATTGGTTCTAAAATATTTTAGCTCAGTCTGCTGATTCCTTGACCAGTCTTGGCTCCTTGGCTCAGTACATTAAGCCGGTTATTACTAACTTAGGGGTTAAGATGGATGCTGGTCCTAAGATGGAAGCAGAGCCGTTATAAAGTCCAGCTTTTTCCACTTGAAGCAGCTAGCCAAAGTAAAACCCATTCTTTCAAAACAATATTTTGAAACAGTGATGCATTTGTGACCACACGGCTGGATTACTGTAACTCGGATTCCCAACTTCAGAGGGTTCAAAATGCTGCTGCAAGTCTTTTAACAGGTACACGAAAATTCGATCACATTTCCCCTGTTTTAGCTTCCTTACACTGGCTTCCAGCACAATTTAAAATTGTTCTTAAAATTCATTTATTTGATTTTAAAACTCTTAATGGCCTTGCCCCTCCTTATCTGTCTGAGCTGTTACATTCTTACACACCCTCCCGTTCCCTTAGGTCAGCTGATCAGTTGCATCTCAGGGTCCCAAAGACAAAATGCAAGCTCAGAGGGGACATGCTTTTTCTGTGGCAGCTCCTAAGCTATGGAATGATCTGCCTTTGAGCATGAGACAGGCCTCTTCTCTTGCTATTTTTAAGTCCCTTCTTAAGACTCATCTTTTTTTCCTACACTGCAAAAACAATCCAGAAATAAGTAAAAAATGGCTTAAATTAAGTATATTTAGCCTTAATTTGAGCAGGTAAATAAGATGATTTGCCAATGGAATGAGTATTTTCACTCTTAAAATAAGATAGTTAGATAATATTTACTTGAAATAAGACGATAAAATAGTTTTTTCTTATTTTAAAAGGAAATTGTCTTGTTCCATTGGCAAAGTGTCTTACTTACCTCCTCAAATCAAGGAAAAACACACTTATTTTAAGAAAAAATAACTTATTGAGATTTATATTTTTTGCAGTGTAGGCTTTTGGCACAATTTCAGAGGTTTCACTTTGTTTTATTCTATTTTTATACTAATATGCATTGTATATTCGATCCTTTCTATTTTATAATTGCATTGTATTCTATGATTGTGTACAGCACTTTGGTCCTATCCGGTGTATAAAGTGCTTCATATATAAAGTTGGTATAGTGTGGCCTTTATAGAACCTGTTGACAAACCCACTTGGAACCTATTTTACAGTGCACCAGGCCCCCCCCAAAGCCCAGCAGAACATTTGTCTAATAAATAATAGGTTCTATATGTAACCCATATGGATTGGCCAGACATGCCCCATTTAATTCTATCCAATTCGATATATTTATATAGTGCCAATCCACAACATATCTCAAGACACTTTCCACAGACAACCAGATCATACAGTCAGACTGGTTCAAAGTTTTCTATCTAATGAAAACCAGCGGATTGCATCAACTCATTGACTCAAAGGCAATCCATCACACTAAGTATGCTTATAGCGACAGTGGTGAAGAAAACTCCCTTTTTACAGAAGAAACCTCCAGCAGAGCCCAGTTCAGTGTGAGCGGCCATCTGCCGCTATTCAAGGAGATTGTGGCTTACATTACACATAGGCTAAACCTTCTTTGTTATCAGAGAATACATTCTGTGGTATTAAAGCTTTTAAATGCTGTTTTTACATTTGGAACTGGTCTTCTTCAACAGGGCTCAGCACTTAAACTGTATAACAACCTTGCTGCCTTATTTAGATTGAAGTGTGGGATATTGCTTTAGCAGCTAGGTGTAGCCACACGCCAAAGCTTTACTATTTGTGTAATAACATTTTATATTAATTTTTTTGCAAGAGCTTGCCAAATAATTATTTCCATTGTTACACTCCTTTTGTTTTGGACTTAGATGCTCCTCATAACTGTTCGATTTTGCACCACTTTATTACCCCGCTCTGTTAGTTTGTTTACCCAGTAGTTTTGTCAATAAGAATTAAATTGGAGAATCTCGCCACAAAAAACATTTTTTCCTGTAATATAAAGAGAACATTGTTTTATGCTTTTTTAATCAGGCAACAAGCTTTTCATTCATCTGAGGGCAGAAATGACAGATTTTGTACACAGAAATTTTACAGGAATGCAGTTCTCTTAGTTATTTCATTTTAATTTGGTACCAGAGCAAAATCAGCGCAGCAACCAAGCCATGGTGTTGGACAGCACTCTCATACAATGTGAAAGTTGGTTAGGAATGATGGCGTTTTTGCTAACGGTTAAGAAAGAACACAATTATAAAAAGGAGGATTCCTATAATTATCAGGACTGTGGACACAATATTGAGAATGTGAGCAGTAGATGCATAACTCCTGGCACCATTCAGATCTCCAACCATCTTCCGGTCTCTGGCCTGAAAAGAGCAAAAATATTATCTTAAAACTGCGCCAGTATAAAGAAATGTGAAACTTAAAACAGAGAACACTGGATTCTGCTGTATCCTTTGCTGAAAATCTGTGTTTGACAGCAGTCATGACTGCTTTCTCTTTCTTTTTTTTTTAGAATAGGATTCATCATCTTGAAAGTAAAGATATCTTTCTTCTTAGTTCCTGACTTTAAAATCCTGTCTGTTAAACCCACGTTTCTATGCAGTTGGAAAGAAACAGAAATCTGATGGCATAATCTCCTTACATCAAAAATAAAACATGGAATAGAATAAAAAAGCCAAACTTTATTAATTACCTCTTCATAAAAAAAAAATCAGAGTATCAGAAGAAAAATAAATGAATTTATCTATAACTGGAGGCTACATTTATCTTGGTAGTTTGCGTTTGTAACCCAGCCATTTATCTGTATGTTTGTATTTACTATTTAAATTGAAGAGTTTTTATACACTTAAATTTAAATACATAGTCATTTAAAGTAAAAAAGAAAAAAGTATTTTTTTTTTTTTATAATGGCATCTTGATTGTCCCTGTTCAGGTGTATTCATTTGGACTCAAGGTTTGATAAAAACAAATTTAATCATACCATTGAAATTAAATTCTAATTCAATTCAACAATACTTTATTAATTCCAAAGGGAAATTAAATGTTGCATTAATTTATAGGTTATTTTTTAATCAGGTGTTAATAGCTGAAGGCAGAAAGGATCTTCTTTACCAATATACATTGCACCATAACTGGAGAAACAATCTGATGAATTGGATGCTCACTGTTGTCCATGATGTTCTTCACTTAATGAAGAATCTTCCTTTTTTTTACTTATTAGCTCTTAGGATTGCAGAAGAGATCACCCTCTCCACAACAGACTTATACATATATAGTATATACTTATATATAATAGAAGATGTGTAGCATCTTGCTGCAAATGTCGAAGGACCTAAGCTTCCTCAGGAAGTACAGTCTCCTCTGTCCCTTCTTGTAGACGGCTTCACTGTTGTATCTCCAGTTGAGTTTGTTGTCCAAGTGAACACCAGGGTATTTATACTCCTTAACCACCTCCACTTCTTCTCCCATGATGTTAATAGGTTTCAACTGGTTCCTGATTCTTCTGAAATCTACAGTCATCTTCCTTGTTTTGTTGACATTCAAGATCAGATGATTGTTTCCACACCATGCCACAAAGCGGTTCACCAGCTCCCTATATTTAGGTTCTTCTCCATCTTTGATGCACCAATGACTGCAGAGTCATCCGCGTATTTCTAAATAAAAAGGAATGGCGAGAATATTCTCCCCTGTGGTGCTTTTGTGCTGCTCACCACTTGATAAGAAAGCTGAACCTTAAGCCTAACAAACTGTGGTCCGTTTGTCAGGTAGTCTGTGAAAACTGATGCTTCTACCTGAGTCTTCTGAAGTTCTTACTGTAATGATCTCAGAACCTTGGACCGAATATTCAAGCAGACAAATCATGAGCGTTTACAAAACAAGTTTTATTCAAAACTTAAGTGAGCGGCTGTACGTCTGCGGGGCAGAATACCGGATTCTCTGCAGAGACAGCAAACTCAGGACCTGGCTGAGAGTTCAGTCCAGTTCCAGAGGGAAAGGAGCAATCCAGGGTCAGATTTTCCGCCGCTTGCGGTTGTTGTGATTTTATGTTCTTTTCTATTCCCAGCCCGCTGGGAATTTATGTTTCTGATACTTTAAGATGTTTATTGCCCTCCCCTGTAGGGGTGATAAAATATCTTATTTAATCAGATATTATTTCAGCTCTTATATATTGCTTATGACACACAGTCCTACTAACTGTGTGTTAGAACAATGAATGAAAGACTGATTCGAACACTAATCATGGTCAAACAGTTAATTTTGCACATACATGGAATAAATTCACCAGTGTTGGGAAAGTTCTCTTTCTACGTGAACTAGTTCAAAGTTCAGTTCACACATTTTAAAATGAACTAGTTCAGTTCATAGTTCATAATTCAAAATTTTGAACTAAGTTCACAGTTCCAAAAAATGAACTAGTTCATAGTTCTTTTTTTTTTTTTCCATATATTGCTTAATTACATCATAGCCTACTGTAGAACCACAGACGGCAATTATTTTATCAGTTGTAACACTGAAACTGTGCGTCAGATTTCATCTTCATATCCAGTTTTGAATCCTTATCCAACCAGGGTTTACATTAGCATTGAGGGGACAGCATTTCCCCATTGTTGCTTTAATGCTTTGTTGCTGTCCATTCACTTCACACTAGTAGCAGCTGCAGCTTTCACCCCTACATTATATTCTCAAAAAACATCAGGAAAAATGTGCTGCTTAAATGGTCTTTTTATGAGGAATTATTAAAAGAAAAATAGGAAAGTAGTCTTTAAGGTGCAAATGTTTTTTTTTTATTTGAATAATTTTTTCCATTTGAAATTCCATTTCAGTACGTACTAAAAAGGAATACTGGAATCCTGGAAAATTATACCAGGCAGGTTTAACAAACAAGTTACATGTAGTGTTGCGCCGATGCCATTTTTTGGCCCCGATACCGATACCTGGCTGTGCAGTATCGGCCGATACCGATACCATAATAATGTAAAATAATTGCCATCATGGCTTTGTCAAGCTGCTGCCTACCTTTGTGAAGCAGGAAAAAATCTAATACAAAGTGAATCCAGTAGAACTTTTTATCTAAAAGTTCTACTGTATAACAAAAATAAAAGTTTTTATTGCCTACCAGGAGTGGGTGACAATAGTTGAATAAACTTATGGCTCTCAAAATGGTATCGGTGCCCTATTTGTTGGAACTCGCCGATACCGATACCACCATTTTAGGGCAGTATCGGGGCCCCGTCCGATACTGGTATCGGTATCGGCGCAACACTAGTTACATGAATAGTAAAACCCTCAAGAACAGGGGTCTTCTATGTTTTCCAGACCAAGGACCCCCAAACTGATGGCGAGATGTAATGTAATGAGCATTTGAGGAACATATGAACACTATTGTTATATCAGTATTTAAATCCTTAGTGAATAAAGCTTGTCCAAGCTTCAACAACAGCTCAACACATTTTCCTGTAGCATAGCGTAGCATGCAGTCCTTTCTTTAGCATCAATTAGCGTTGTCTTTGCTCGGCAGTAAACACACGATATGATTAGCATCATCAAAAGACATATTGCTTGTTCTGTCCCTAATCATGCCAGACCTCAAACCTTTTTCCATGTCCATTTGGAAAGCTTGAGTTTCATCCAGTTTTGCTCTGCAGTCAGGGGTTCTTTGTCGCAGTCTCACAGCAGGGGTCCCCTCAGGCTCACACCCAAGGCATGGTTCTCATCTAGATTGGCTCTGTAAGTTCTGAAACTCAAGAGAAATGTGTTGCAAAAGGTCTGTTTGCAGCAGTTTGGTTCTGAAAGGTTCTGACTTATCCTTGACGGTTAAGGAATATCCAGAGCTCTAAGATACTCAGGACGGATCTCGTCCACCCCTGAAGCCTTGCCACCGTGGAGTTTTTTGACCACCTCTGTGACTTCGGCCTGGGTGATGAACAAATCCAGCCCCAAGCACCCCGTCTCGTCTTCCCCCATGGAAGGCGTGTCTGTTGGTTTGAGGCGATCCTCAAAGTATTCCTTCCACCGCCCGACAATATCCTCCTTCAAGGTCAGCAGCTCCCCACTCCCACTGAGAACAGTGTTAGCAAAGCACTGCTTTCCCCTCCGGAGGCGCCAGATGGTTTGCCAGAATCGCTTTGAGGCCAACACATAGTCTTTTTCCATGGCTTCTCCGAACTCCTCCCAGGCCCAAGATTTTGCCTCTGCAACCCCCCGGGCCGCGACATGCTTGGCCTCACGGTACCTGCTTGCTGCTTCAGGAGTCCCACAAGCCAGCTAAGCTCCATAGGACTCCTTCTTCAGCTTGACAGCATCCCTTACTATAGGTGTCCACCACCAGGTTCAGAGATTGCCACCACGACAGGCACCGCAAACCTTAAGGCCACAGCTACGGGCAGCCGCATCAACAATAGAGGCAGAGAACAAAGCCCATTTGGACTCCATGTCTCCAACCTCCCTCGGAACCTGAGAGAAGCTCTCCCGGAGGTGGGAGTTGAACACTTCCCTGACCGAGGGTTCCACCAGACGTTCCCAGCAGAACCTCACTACACGTCTTTCAGGCTTCCTCCTCTTCCAGCGTATCCAGCTCACCACCAGGTGGTGGTCGGTGGACAGCTCCGCCCCTCTCTTCCCCCGAGTGTCCAGGACATGCGAGAGAGTCCGGCTGATTGTTGAACCTCGGCTGCAGGAGGAGCAGTGTGGTTTTTGTCCTGGCCGTGGAACAGTGGACCAGCTCTACACCCTCTGCAGGGTGCTTGAGGGTTCATGGGAGTTTGCCCAACCAGTCCACATGTGTTTTGTGGACTTGGAGAAGGCATTCGACCGTGTCCCTCGTGCTGCCCTGTGGGGGGTGCTCCAGGAGTATGGAGCGGGGACCCCCTAAATATATATATTGTATGTATAATTGTGTCCTATAGTCACTCTATTACAGATGGAGTAATGTAAAGAAATTAATTTCTCCCTGGGATTATTCAAGTTTTTCTGATTCTGATTCCTGGTTGATGGTACAGGTGTTGTGAAGGAAACGGTGCCCAGCTTGAAAGAGCTCCTGTGTGTCGCTGAATGTTTGCATTAATGACTGAAAGACATCTTCTGCCTCCATTTATCTGTTTACTACAGTGTGTTGATTTCATGTTTTTAAAGAAATTTCAATTAGTGGGGGAAAAAATTGCAGGGGGGGGAATATAAAAATATCAACTAACCTTGCAGACCCTCATGCAGTACCTCCGTCGACCCCCTAGGGGTCGCGGACCCCCTGTTGAAGACCTCCACTCAAGAACATTTTACTAACACAAACTGAGGGACCAGGCTGAGGTAGGAATTTAAGTTACTGAAGTGCGGATTTTTTTACTGAAAGCCGGCAGGCAAAGTTTGCAGAGAAATGTAAGATTGTTGCCATCATCCTCACCGGTCATAAAACTGTTTTAAGTGATCATACCGCTGCTTTGTCGCATCCACGGTCGCCTCCATGCTGCATTTTGTTTTGATGACGCACGCGGCTGTAGGCTAAGACACTGGTAGCTGGTGTTGCCAGATTGGGTGTTTTTCCCGCTACATATTAAGGCTTGTTTACGGTGTGATTTAGCCGGGGTTTCGCTTGGAGGGCTCTAAAGAAATCTGGCAACCTATTGAACAGAGTTGAACTGAGAGAGCGTGCCATTCACAGACACCAGAATGAACGAGTATGGAGTCGGGGGCCCTTTATTAGGGGCCATCCGTTCTCTGTACAAGCGGAGCAGGAGTCTGGTTCGCATTGCCGGCATTAAGTCGGACCTGTTCCCGGTGCATGTTGGACTCCGACAGGGCTGCCCTCTGTCACCGGTCCTGTTCATAACTTTTATGGACAGGATTTCTAGGCGCAGCCAAGGACCGGAGGGGGTATGGTTTGGGGAACAGCGGATCTCGTCCCTGCTTTTTGCGGATGACGTAGTTCTGCTGGCTCCCTCCTGCCAAGACCTACAGCGTGCGCTGGGGAGGTTTGCAGCCGAGTGTGAAGTGGCTAGGATGAGAATCAGCTCCTCCAAGTCCGAGGCCATGGTTCTCGACAGGAAAAAGGTGGCTTGTCCCCTTCAGGTTGGAGGAGAGTCCCTGCCTCAAGTGGAGGAGTTCAAGTATCTTGGGGTCCTGTTCACGAGTGAGGGAAGAATGGAGCGGGGGATCGGTGCGGCTGCCGCAATAATGCGGACGCTGCACCGGTCTGTCGTGGTTAAGAGAGAGCTCAGCGAAAAGGCAAAGCTCTCAATTTACCGGTCGGTCTATGTTCCTACCCTCACCTATGGTCATGAAATTTGGATCATGACCGAAAGAATGAGATCCCGGATACAAGCGGCTCAAATGAGCTTTCTCCGCAGGGTGGCTGGGCTCTCCCTTAGAGATAGGGTGAGGAGCTCGGTTTTTCGGGAGAGGCTCAGTGTAGAGCCGGTTCTCCTCCACATTGAGAGGAGTTAGTTGAGGTGGCTCGGACATCTTCTTCGGATGCCCCCTGGACGCCTCCCTCGGGAGGTGTTTCAGGCACGTCCCACCGGGAGGAGGCCCAGGGGACGACCCAGGACACGCTGGAGAGACTATGTCACTCGGCTGGCCTGGGAGCGCCTAGGGCTTCCCCCAACAGAGCTGGAGGAGGTGTCAGCTGAGAGGAAAGTCTGGGAGTTTCTGCTTAGTCTGTTGCCCCCGTGACCCGGTTCCGGATAAAGCGGGAGACGACGAGTACAAGTACGAGGTTCTGGAGATCTGGTTCTCCTGGGGCCCGCATCTCCACCACAGCGGACCCCATCTCCCTGGACAAGGGAGAGGAGGCAAGGAGAGGGGCAGGAGCAGCAGAGACAGAATCCTGTGTGCTCTGTGGTTTTGTCTGTCCTCACAGAGAGGGGGGTAGATTTTCACACCTCTGGTGGCTTCCATGTGACTGGCCTGTGACTGCTTTGGCTGAAAAGGGGGGGCTGCAGAAGTCCCCCAGCTGTTATTCACCAAAGCTGCGTGTTCTCCTCTGGTCATCCTATCAAGATGAAATATGGACACTGGTTCCCAATGTCCAAAAAGTATGATCTTGGCATATGGCACAACACAGTCGTAACTGCTTCAGAGCTCAGGGTGGAAAGGAGCTGGTGCTAGCCGCCACAAAGGAAGCAACAGTGTCTGCGAGGGATAATCCAAAGCCGAATTACAGTCCAAGCCAGGTTGACAGACCAGGAGATCAGAAAGCCAAAGGATTGGGAAGGCAGGAACCTCAGAACTAGCTGGAATCCACAGTCATGCAGCGAACGCTGCCCAGAGAGATCCAGATGCTGAAACCTTGAAGACTGGAGAACAGGCAGGAGATCAGATCCAAGCAGAAGAAGGAAAGAAGGATAATTCAGAGGGTGAAGCCAAAGCCAGTGTCACAGGAGTCCGAGCCAGAAGATCAGAGATCCGAAGATACTCAAGGGAAATCCAGGTCAGTGTCAGGAATCAGATCCAGGTTCAGTCAACATGCAGAATCCAGTCCAAAGACAGGTCAGGCAAACAGATCAGAATGAACAGGCAGGCTCAGTGGTCAAAAGCTAGGATCAGGCAATAAGAACCCATTCAAGTATGATAGAAGACTCTCACTAAAAGGCTTGAATAATCTGGCACTTATGACTGGATGCAAGCAGGTTAAATAGAGACTGAAGTAGGTGAAATAAATGGACGGTGATGTGAAACTGGGTGGAGCTAAGCAGGTGAATGGAATGAACAATCAAGCCAGTTATCAGCACCAAGATCAAGACAGACCGTGATTTTCATGGAACAAGGGAGATGGATGGCCACCGGGTTCCCCACTGAATCCCAAACACAAAATAGAATGGAGAGAGCCAAGTGGGGGGCTGAATTAATAGCATGCTCAACCTAGGGAAGTAGGCTGGCCCACTTAGTGGGATCTGATTCAAACAAAATGTGTAACTCTGTTTCTAGCTCCTGTCCAAACGGACATAGCAAAAGGAAACAGCCTGATAAAATGAGGTGTCAGCGTCCTACTCTCCACCCTCAAAGCCAGGTCTTTAGTTGAGAGCCAAACCTTCTGGCCTTTCCAGTATTCGGGTGCCGGAACTCTCCAGCGGTTAGCACCCTTGGCTTGACTGTCTAGAGTCTAGACTATCAATAACCGCCTCAACTCCAGTACCAGAGGCATCCACCTCCTCAATCAATTTTTCCTTTGGATCAGGGGAAACAAGAACAGGTGCAAAAATAAAGAGCTTTAAAGTCTCTAAAAGGCTTGATCAGCCTGTTTGAACCAACAGAACTTAATCTTAGCTGAAGTGAGGGCATGAAGAGGCGCCTCAACCTGACTGTAGTTTCTGATGAACCCTCTGTAGAAGTTAGCAAAACCCGAGAATCTCTGCAGGTGCTTTCTGTCTTTGGGTACAGGCCAGTCGGTAACAGCGCTTTCCTTCGTAGCGTCCATAGTAATCTGGTCACGAGAAACCACAAAACCCAGGAATGACATAGTTTCAACATGAAATTCACATTTCTCAGCTTTAAAAAAAGCAAATTCTGCAAGAGGCGCAACAGTACAGCTCTGACATGGTTCTTATGGGAGTCCAAATCCCAAGATTAGATAATAATGTCATCTAGATAAACAAAAAAAGGTTGTACAATTGCTCACTGATTTAAGCAATGTGTCGCTGAGCTTGAATTTTTACTGTATATTAAAGTGTTTCAGTTCAGTTTAGTCTTTACATGTGTTGTGTAAAGACTGCTAAAGAAAAAGGAATCAGTTCAATGGGATCATACAGACAGATTTCAAGTTATGCACCAATCAATCCTAGTTACAGAACAACTACTTTTTTATTCAAATTGGGTTAAAGAATTTCTATCAGTGAAACCCGATGGATTTGATTAAGTCAGAGACTATGGTGAAGTTAATGATGAAGAACCTGAAAATACTGTGGAAATGAGTGGTGAAGGACATGAAGGAGTCTGACGGAGTTAAAAGTAGGAAAGGCAGGGATTCTTAATTTTAATTCATTTATAAGAACAGAGTTTTTCTTTGACTGTTATGCCATAATCATAAACAAAGTGTTAATTCAAGTAACTATAGCAATGTCTTGTTTTTCATTATTCAGGTACATTGAATAAATAAATAAAAGCACAAAATTGTATTTCTGTACTTTATTGACCACACAGTTGAATCACATGTAATTGCTGCATTCACTAACCTTGGAAACACATTATTCTAGCCCAACCATTATTATAAATACAATAAGGAAAAGTGAACCAGCACTTGAATATGGCATTGTGGGCCAGATGTTGAGGCATCGATGGTGACCTTTAAGCATCATTCAACCCGATAAAATACAATTTTTTATTTTAAGCAGTTTACATGGGTTTCACTGTAATCCCTCTGATTATTTTCAGGGTTAGATTTTTTGCTCTTGCTGAAATGTATAGGAAATGTATAAAAAAAAAATTACATGCTGAAGCTGATCAAAAATAGAACCCAAGTTTAAAACAGAGATGCACATGCTGACCTTGACAGAGAAGATGAGAGCTGCCAGTCCAATGCAGCAGGGATTTCCATAGACAAAGCTGAAGAGAGACCAGACAATGTTGTCCTTGAGCTGCTCGGCAGGGATGTTCACAGTGGTCTGAGGAATCATTATGGTACCCTGACCATGTGCCTGGACTTCAAGGTTTCCATAGTCCTGCAGTAAAACAGCCTCAGCTTGATGCCTTGCATCTGGTAAATTTAAAGCCATTCCAGTAACTGCAGTAGCTGTGCCCACCTCAGAGGGGATACAGGATGATAACTGAAGCTTGTTGAGTTCATTTTATCTTTAAGGTATTTGAGATTAACATCAGTGTTTATGGAGAAAACCTCTGTGCTAGACCATATACCCCTTTCACCTTCATTTTACACCAAACAGTCCATTATCTGAACAATCTTTTTCCATCCTTAACACAGAAAATGACACTCATGACTAAGAGAATGATGCAACACATTGACTTCGTCCAAACAAGTTGCTTTGAAAAATAGAAAAAAAGATTGTTCCCTAAAACCATTTAGCTACTTACAGGCATATATAAATAAATATAAATATAAATACCAAAATGGAGTGATTAACTGAAAAGTCAAAAATGAAAGATATATAAAACCTAAAAGGTTTGTGGCACTTGTATTCTGGTCTGTATTGATCCAATGCACCTAATTAAAGTTGAACATTGGGAACTTAAAAGTCTTAATGCCGTTGGAATGAAGGACATTATGAAAAGCTCAGTTCTGCAGTTGCAAAGAGAGGATAAAGTCTATAAAGTCCACCCATATAACAGTTAAAATGTGATTGAAATACACCAGCAGCTCAATAAAAAAGCTGCCCTATCATTAATGCTTTTAAAGTCAGAAAGACTCAAGCCCCCGTTGATTTGAGAGATTCCAATCTTTTCCATGATAGTAAATAATTTGATAATTAGAATGTGATATTTCAACATCTGAGCTTAGATATGGACCTTAGAAAAGTGTATAAGTCAATCAATCCCCAAGTATGGGTTGATTATGTAATATACTAAAAAGTATTTTCTTTATTGGGCAAAAATGTTTGTTGATGTCATTGGTTGGAGGGGAATGCATGAATTCTAGAAAAAAAAAAAAAACATTAACTTAAAAAACTGCTCAAAACACATTGAATCTTGAACCAGAAGACCACTGCACAAGCTCAAAATAGCTCAATCTATTCTAGCCAATTTGAGTTATTTGTGGAGAAATGACTTTTTGTTTCAATAGGTTGCAAAAACGCCCTCCTACCATCATACACAACTAACTGGCTAATGAAAATCATTTATAACCCAGTTAAACTTTTAATATTTAATAGTTGTTTAATGTATCCCCTGTCCAGGGAGTACCTCAGCTCTCGCCCGTAGACAGCTGGAGATAGGCACCAGCACCCCTCGCGACCCCACTTGGGAAAAGCTTGATGGAAAATGGATGGATGGATGTATACGATAGTCCTCCAGGGTCTCCATGACGGAAACCAGTGAAATTGCTCTGGGATGGTTTAGGGTGGGAGATTTTCAACATGGATCGTTTTGAGGGAAAAGGGAGTCCAACCAACAACAAGGATGGTGTTAACGTGGCCGTTGATGGATTGAAGATCAACACTGGACAGCTACTTTCTTCTGAAAACCACCAAACCACGTCCCCTTGTTCCTCATTTTTACCAAACTAGATTATCTCTCTAACCCTATTATCTTTTGTTAGAAAAACTGCATATGTCACAAAGATGACTGATGCAACAAAATGACACAGTCTTCTTCAGACACTGTCCCAACAGGTTGAACCATTCAATACAAACTTGGGTCATTAACAACTGCTTTGATGGTAGAGAACTGGTTGAACTTCAGAACTTAAATCCAACACAAGATAGTTTAAAGACCAATGCAAAATGTAAATTTACAGATGGATAAACAATGTGAGTGATTACAATATACCCTGTTCAGACTTTTATAAACATTTTTAAATGGAAAATGTTCTACAGTAAATGTGCTCCTGTGTCTGTATATATATAACATTTAGGTCTCAAGAAAGAAACTCATTTAGTGAAACTCATTTAGTCCTGGCTCTCACTAAATCTGTGTTCTGGGGTTTAAGATGAGACACTTTTGTTATGGAATCAGAGAAGCTTTCTCAGGTTTGTTGGATGTTTGCTGAGGACCCTGATGCAGAGAAGGAGAGGCAGATATCACTTCTTGCAGATTTAAAGAAGATGTTAATAGTACAGAAGCAAATAATACAGAAACAACAAGCAAGTAACTCAGGAATGACAAACTAGGAGACGATCAGGGAAACTAACATAAAGAATAAAGTAATTAAGAGAATCCAGTAAAGAGGAACTGCACAGGAGGTGTACATATGGGAGAAACACCCAATAAATGGGCTAACTAGTTGATAGGGAGTAGGTGTGGACAGGGGCAACTAAAAAGGAGCTAAGGGGAAAGAAAAGGGACACTAGGGTTCAACAAAAAATAACAGGGAAAACAAAATATATCTGTAACCAGGAAAGAACTTTGATAAAGCTAGAGGAAATAAATATAATGACTGAAATTAAAAAGGGGACCAAAAAAGATAACTGAAAGAAGTAACAAGGGAAAACTAAGAATTCAAAAATAACATAAATCTTGACAAACAGAATAATAATAAATATAACTGAGGACCCAAACTGAGATGAGCTAAGATCAGCCTAAATCTAAGCACTTGTATTCTCCTTCACAAATGTATCTAATTTTATTACTGTGCCTTTACAATGAGATCTGAAAGTGATCTAATGCAGTGCCATTGATAGCTGATTAACAGGCTTTTGCTTAACTGCAATCATTAGAATCCGCTGTGTTGAAGCAGAGAAACCTCTTAAACCTCCAGGCCCTAGAGGACTTACTTTGGATACACCTGACCTACACCATCTGCCCACAAGTGCCCGTTTGGTCAATTTTTGACACCGAATAAAAGCATGTTATTAAAAATGCAATTCATTTTGCAAAAAAGAAATAACATGACAATCCCACCTTTTTGCCTTTGCGATGCACGAAATATTATTACTCCTTATTCAGCGAACCAGAGTACAGAGCCCAGTGTGATTCGCTTTCAATCCAGATTACAAAACAGCTCTTTATCAATTAATATATAATTTATAATAAATTAATATATTATTTAGAAAAATTATGTTTGAGTTCTGTGTAGATCATAAAAGGATTAACCAATCAAAGCGCTCCTGTTTCATGGATTGAGCAATATAGTTCATCTCACTCAATGACTACCAAGCTGTTGCACTGACTCCTATCATGATGAAGTGCTTTGAAAGGCTGGTTAAAGAACACATTGTCTAGAGTCCTCCCCAAACATTCAACCCTCTCCATTTCGCCAACCGATGAAATCGCTCCACTGAGGATGCCATCTCCTCTGCTCTTCACCTGAGCCTGGCACACCTGGAGGAGAAGAATACCCATGTGCAGATGCTGTTCCTGGATTTCAGTTCAGCTTTTAACACCATCATCCCACAGCATCTGCTAGGAAAACTGGAACAGCGGGGCTTCAAGACACCCCTCTGTAAATGTCTCTGTTTTAGTAGTTTTACTGAGTTTTTATTTTTTAGAGAAAACATTTTTATTGTATTTTTAGCTTTCTTTTTGAGAAACTAAGGAAAATTAAAACTCTGCATTCAAACTGGCCCTGTTCTCTGTTCCCTGGGTTCTGACTCACTAGCTCCCTCTAATTGTTAAAAGACCTATTGTAGCACTAAGGAACCAACGCGGTGCTTACATAATTTGGCGTTGCTGACAGGACAATAAGTTTGGGAGCAGTGTTCAACACCTATTGTGCAGATAAATTAGAAAAACATGATGATGCCTGTATATCCTGGTGCTCCTTGGGTACCAACGTGTAAGGGTCATGACTCTGATATCTTATATCAGGACTGGAAACAGCAAATACAAGGGTTATTAAATGCTCAAGAAAGTGGCTGTTATTAGTGCTGGAAAGTGGAAATTTTAATTGGTGCTTTGAGTGGTGATGCAATGTGTGAAGTTGGTGTTCTGGAAGAAAAAGATAGAGACCAAGCCAGGAAAATCTTCACATTTCTGGACTCCCTAACAGACTTCCTAAATGGTGACTAAAGGTCCATAGCAGTGTTAAGGTCATGTTTTTTTTGTTGTATGCAGAAACCAAATTAGGCTGTAAAGTCTATTACCCTAAGACTAAGGGTGTTGTATTGCAGGCTACGGCAGCACAACCCTGACCAGGAGTAGATGGTGCTGGGCTTAAGCGAGGGCTCTTTGTCACAAACTTTGCAAGCTTTTTTGCGCCACCACACATAAGAGGATTTTGCGAGAGGCTCGACATTTTATATATATATATCAAGTTATTAGACAGCATGGGTTTAATTTTCACTGTTATGCTGATGATATCGGTATCCAGATGAAGCTAACCCATTACATAGATTACAGGCATGTCTCGAAGACACAAGAACCTGAATGCAGACAAAACAGAAGTTATAGTCTTTGACAAATAAGCTGATTAGTCAGTCACTTCATTTGGATGGGATGAAACAAATTTCAGATAATAAAGTAAAAAAATCTTGGTGTTGTTTTTGATCAGGACCTGTCATTTAATTCCCATATCAAAAGAGGTTTCTAGAATTTTCTTCTTTCATCTGCGCAATATTGCAAAAGTTAGAAATATCCTGTCCAGGGGTGATGCCAAGAAACTAGTCCATGCATTTGTTACTTCAAGGCTGGACTATTGCAATTCTTTACTATCAGGAAGTCCACAAACTGTATCAACACCCTTGTTTATACAGTAGATGTTGGAGATTGGCCTCATTTCCAGGATTGAATTGAATTGCTGTTAAATGCAGAGGAGAATCGAACAAATCAGAGGCTCAATGCAACCAGCTGGATTTAAGGAATTTGAACTGGAATGTAGTCTTTGACGACTGTGATCATTAAGCATGTGCTTGAAATGGAGTTTGCCTGTAAGATTCAACAGTGAACTGCAATTAGTTTTATTTATAGCACATTCAGGTCAAGAGAAACACGTCCAACAGACTGAATTTGGTGGATGTTTACTCTTACAGGTTTTCTGTGATATGCAAACTTGATTTTGGCAGAATTTTTATTAGATCCAAGTCACAATAATCAAAATGAACAAAACCCCCACAAGACAATCTACAAAATCATGGTTTTCACTTTCTACATTCAATGAGTGAAATGAAAATCTGTTGTATATTTAGACACAGCTGAAAATAAAAGAGCACTAGATTATTTTAGCCAACCTTTAGACTATAAGACATTAGTATATTTAGAAGGAAACAATCAACTCCAAATGCTTTAAATGATCTTATAATTTGAAAACAGATTAATGGTTCTTATAGAAACACATTCAACAGTAAGCTATTCAGTCAAATTAGAGTTAAACAACCCAGAAGTTACCATAGTGCTCAGCAATAACACACTACCTGCCCTACAGCAGCTTTACAATTCAGACCCAATAATCAGCATCTTTTCAAATACATTTGGCTTCAACATTACCTTCTTCTGAGTTTCTACAAACATATTTAGCAATTAGAATGCATGAGAAAGAGGTATATAAATCAAAGTTGGTTAATTCAATCAAATTGAAATGGTAATAATATTTACATCATTAAGGCATCAGGTTATTAAGGTAATTTAATAAATCTGCAGCCTAATCAACAATATTACCTGACAGGATTTAATGCAGAGTAATTCATGAAGGTTACCTCCTCTGAAACAAGGATCAACATGAAAGGATACAAACAGAGCATTAGAACTACAGCAACCATATCTGTGACTGTAATTAATACACTGATGGGTCTGGATCTGCAGACTGAAGGCATCACATCTTGGAGGAGGCGGCGATGGCAGAAGCTCCTGGACGGCTGTAGACGTGTACGTTTGTGTTCTGGATACACAGACAGACATGAAATTAGCCTCTTTTTTTTTTACTCCACTCCATTAGGTCATCTGCTTCAATATATATATAATTATATATATATATATATATATATATATATATATATATATATATATATATATATATATATATATATATATATATATATATATATATATATATATATATATAATTATCTTAATAATAGTCAAGATTTTTGTGCTTTTTAGCAGGAATATTAATATTTTCAAACAAAATTCTCAAGATTACTTTAGAACTTCATGTTAAATATGCATTTATACAACAGCCATGGAAACGATACAAGTTATTCATGCTAAATTATAAGTGGTGGACATTCATGGAGAAACAGTTTACCTTCTTGGCTTCAGCATTATACTTATTGAGCAAGCTCTGAACCCGGTTTCCATAGTCTGGATGGACGGCCTTCAGGTTTTCCACCTGCAGGAAGAAAACTAAATGAACATCGGCTTCATTGCTTCTTTGCTGGGGTCCCTGTAAAAAGTCGAGTCCAGTCCATGAGTTTTTTCTCAGATACACTTGTCCTTTCACCAAAAACCACAGTGTGAGGTGCTAACAGCTATATTGATTGCTGTCTTTCCAAATCAAAGGCCAACTTCAGCTTTATGGTTATGTGTTATTTATTATTCCTGTGATAGTTGGGTTGAGGAGGGGATCTAGGGCGGTCTTCATTGAGGTAGACTGTTTGGGTTGGAAACAGTCAGCACAGCCTGTGTCCGGCAACACCTGCTGGGTTAGCATCACTCTACCTAAGGCAACATTATGCTACGTACTTTATCTTAGCAGCCGTGACACGGCAAGCTAATTACAATATTCACAAGAACAGCATCTTACCCTTGCTGCTTCCCTCTAGCCAAACAATATAACACCATGCTAAACTAGATAGCCTAAACATATGGATGCTAACTCAGTGTAGCTCCATCAGCACACCAGATTTTCACCAGCCTGTTAGATGTTTTGGTCTTTCTGTCCCAAAACATTGGCCTCTATCATGAGGGTTATTAAAACACAGTCCTGGCTTCTCACTGCAGTCACAGTCGTGAGTCTTCGGATGCTAAATTTCAATATTTATCTTGTTGGCCCTGACTTTGCTTATGTAAAAGAAAAGTTTTCAAGGTTAGGTTAGAAATCGAAAGCTTGTAATCAGTTTTTTTGTTTTTGTTTGATGCACAACAATAAAAGAAGAACAAGAAAGCAAGATGGGAATCAGATAATGGTTTGTTATTTGATTTCTTGTTTTAGTTCAATAAATGAAAAAGTTAAATTACTAGTAATTTTTTCTTCTATTTATTTTTTTTATTAAAATATTAAACTGCCTGACAATTATCCTACATCATCCATCAATACTTGACAAGAGATAATCCGAAACCTGGTATATTTTATTTAAAAATACCTTTTTCATCGTAAATTTTTACAAAAGCAGGATAAACATACAAGGCTGTTTCCGAACACTCCGCCCTATCCCCTAACCCCTCCATTACTACGTAGAGGGGATTTTACATAGTGGACTTTATAGTGAGTTCAGTTAACTGACCGTTCTAACAGATGATCACTACTTTTCGCTTCCCGTTGGTCACACAACTCAGCCAGGATGCATGCACCATCTTTATTAGGTCACTGTCAAACAAATCCAATGATTCTTTGCGAGGAGAGCTCTCGCAAAGCAATCTGGGAGATATGGCTCCTCTAGAGACCATAAACGATCACTATTTTTCAAGCTGAGAAATTTCAAGTCCACTACTTTTTCATCCACTAGATTTTTGGACAATCTATACAGTGCCCAATATAGCAGTTAGGGCAGACATTCGGACACAGCTATGGAGAGAAAAAGAAGCGTTTGTTTCATAGAGAAACAAAGTGTGATCTTACCATTCGTTTTTGGATGAAGAGCTGGGCTCCTTTCAGGGACCCTGCCATGTTCTCACACAGTCTCTGGCGCTCCTCTTCATTCAGCACCTGGGTGTAGAAGGCTCGAACCTGCAACCAGTTTTACACAGATCCACAACCTGATGAATGCAGCTCCAGTCAAAACGAGAAACATATCATTGAATTAAACTGAAAACAGAGTTTACACTGTCCTCAGCAGCCCCACTGACCAATCACATCCCTGCACTTCTTCATGAACATTTCTATATCACTACTAAATATTTAATACATTATTTTAAATCAAAGGTGATGTCATATATCTGATGCTCGAGTTTTGATTGATATTTAACAAGGTACTGAAAAGTTTACATTTTAAAACCATAAGGGAACTGAAAGTGTAAAAGTATAAAGGAACAAAAGCTCTGCTGACACCCGACAGGAAAACTATTTAACAGTCCAGCATGGAGGCTATGTGCACCGAAGCATGACGACTTCCCCCTGCTGTGAATGAGGCTCTACGTTTTAGAAAAAACCCAAACTCAATGATCCGTCTGAGAAAAAAACAACAAACGATTTGATATCATGAAGCCATCACCTCCTGAGCATGAGATAAAATCAAACATATAAAAACACACACACCTCTGAAAAAACTTACAATCTGACTGTTTTCTACTTTAATCTAAAGCTTAGTCTGTGACATGTCTCTGCAATCAGTCAGGCACAAAATGGTCTAAACATGCTAGTACAGCATACAGACTCGAGCCCTAAAAGCCAGTTTAATCTTCATCACCTGTGTCACATTGTCTTCATCTTCGCTGTTGTAACGAGCCACATCGGGTGAAACCCTGAACCTGGACTCCAAGGCCAGGGGCTGATTCTGTGGGGCACTGAAGCTATTTGGATAGTAGTTTGGAGCGCCACCTAGAGGTCAGACAGAGGAAGCACTGGTAGGTCAAGGAGAAAAAGCACCAATACTGGATCAAAACATATCTGCTATCTTTGTCAACACAAGGGACAGAGATAGCAGAACATGTGGGTTTGTTGTCTTATTATGTAAAGATCGTTAAAGTTTTGAAGAGCAGATGTATATATAGTCATCAATGTTTGTGCTTTCTGTAAGTTTTGTTTCAAACCACAACAGTAAAAAAGGAGTCACCTACAGACTGCAGACGAATGCCGTCTGTCTCTTTTAGACAAGTTGACCATCTGATCGTCTTCCTGTTTCCTTCTGCATGTCTAATTGGCTGCCTGTGAAAACCTTAAAATGTTCCAATGCTGTTTTACCTTCATTCAACTGTGTGGATTATAAACATATCTAAATATAATTAATTTAATTAGACATGTTCAAACAGTACTAGTTATTTTAAAGTATTAGTGTCAATCATTATATTCAAAGCAGAAGTTGAATAGAAAGTTGTTTTGGTTTCAAAACCAAAACATGAACTAACCAGACAATGGTTCAAAGTCGGCATATTTAAAACACTTTTCCATACATAGATGGATTTATATATTTAATGTTTTTATTCTTTAGCAGTAGATCTGATTCTTACATATATAACTGCATTTATGCTTTTTATAATTGCTATCATTTCTTTACTACATTTGAGATTAATCAGTCTTTTTAAAGAAGGAAGTAATCATTTAAAAGGAACTTTAGCCACTTCTTTAGCAACTTAATTTAATATATTTTATAGAGGCACTATTTTAAGAGAAAAAAACTAAGTGAAAATCTGATGTTGATTGATTATTTTAGATTTTGTTCAAGTTATATTTTTAGCCCAAAAACAGAAAGTTTTTTCAGATCTACACTTCAGTTGTTGGGGAACAGAACTTGATGTTTGGCCACATTCTGAGCTCCTTTCTGGCTTTTCTGAAAGTTTTTAAACAGCCGACTTCATATAAACCAGGAAATCAGTTTGGATATAGAATCCAAATTAACACAGGAAACTGCTGAACTGAAGAGGGCATTAGTTGGAAAGTTTCTGCAACATCAACACCACTAAGAAAGTGGGTTTTCTGCTAAAACTCCATTTTATTGAGTATTACCGCCCCCTGGTGGTAACAGCAATAAAGACATCATCTTTCAATCAGATAAGAAAAATAACTAAAACTTGGGTGTCCTTGCAATCTGGAAACAGCGATTATATTGCAAATGGATTTAATTTTAAAGTTCTAGTCTTGACTAAAGTCTAGTTAGAAGCTTTTGACAATAAAAGTTTATTTCTGTTCTGTCTTTTCTTGTTGCTGTCAAACACAACAAAGACTTTCAAAGGTTTTAACAGTTTGACCATCTAACATGCATATTTATTATTAGCAAACTGATCTTGGTAAATAAATATATTATCTTTGTTCAAATATGCTATAAAATGTGCAAATATTTGTGTTACAGCTTTAGGATAATTCACTATTAGTAATGGAGATCATCAGTTGTATTATTGATAATACTCTACAGGCCGATACATGAGCCGGCTGATACTGGTGTAATTTTCTTGTATCGACTGATCCATGTGCATTTAGATCATGTGAAGCACATGCATTAACTTTCATTGTCCATTATCAATCATTGATTCCAATCATAAGATGTTTAATGTATCGTTTTATTTAAATGGGGAGCTTAACCCTGACAGAATGACTGGAAATATCCCAGGTGGGAGTTTAGATGTTCTTAAGTTTGGCACAATCAGCCAATAGATTCAGCTTTTCAAAGGAGCCTCAAACAAATTGAAAAGGACAGAAAAATCAGAGTGTGAAGAGCAGATCAACGTAGTAAAGCTGAAAGGCATCAGATTGTTTTAGAGCTAACTGATTACGGAAATCCTAAAAAAAATATATCTCTCGTTCTGATTTTCCCATAGGGAACCTATTGGGTTGAAGCAGGACGGTCATTTTTTCCCTAATATTTACTAAGTCTTGACGACATGCTATAAAGAAATCTATCGAGATTGATTTACTCAAACAGGATGAAAAGAAAAATTCCAATCATAGCTTTTGTCTAAAACTTCAACCTGCATAAAAAAGCATGATTTTAAGTTAACTTTAACGAAGTATTAACATGCAGCACTAAACACCATTGGTCCGGACAATTTCATTGCAGGATCTACAGATAATCTAAATGAGTTAAACATTTATGCTAAAGTGAAAGCTATAGAAGTAGATAAATTAAATGTTTTAAAATACAGTAGGAAAACAAATGCAAACTGAAGAACTTACCCTGATTATCAGTCATGCACATCGGACCATCACGTTGATAGTTGGCCACACGGGTCCTAAACGGACAGTTGACTGGGATCTGCAGGTAGTTGGCTCCCAGCCGATGACGATGCGTGTCTGGGTAGGAAAACAGCCGACCCTACACAAAAGCACCCGAGATTAAAAAGGAACGATATGTGCTGTTGATATTCACCACATGGTTACTATGTTACCTGCAGCATCTTATCAGGGCTGGCCTCAATGCCTGGCGGCATGTTGCTGGGGTCAAAAGCCAGCTGTTCAACCTCTGCAAAGTAGTTGACTGGGTTCCTGTTGAGGACCAGTTTCCCCACTGGGATCAAAGGGTAATCTTTATGCGACCACACCTGTACAAGCAAGAAAACTACTTTTTTATATTCATATAACAGAAAATAAAACAACATTATTATGGTTTTAAGTAAAACATTGAATAAAAAGATTCAAAATCTAAATGTTCTCCACCAGAGTAAGAGTTTAACAAAGGTGCAAAACAGCTTTTAACAAAGTTAAGATGTTATTAGTTTGTTAATAGTGTAAAGTAGCTATTCACAGTTTTTTTTTGTAATCAATGTAAATATGTGTGTTTCACCATGTTGGGATGCAGTACCTTAGTAAGATCAAAGGGGTTGAACTGGAACCGCTCAGCCTGATCAAAGGTCATGACTTGGATGTAAAAGGTCCAGGATGGAAAGTTGCCGTTTGCGATCGCGTTGAACAGATCGCCGATACCATAATCTGGGTTGGTTGCTGCAAGGCGGTCTGCTTCCTCCACCGACAGATTCTTAATTCCTTGATCAGTCTTTAAAAACAAAATACAAACACATCCATCACACACTTCTGCAAACCAACAACACCACTGGTCTCCATTTATTCAATGGATTGCTGATAGGCCGAAAAAAAAAAAACACCTGCCAACATCTTAGTACCGCCCACTCTCACAGATTCGTGTCATAAAAATGCCTCTAATGTAATGTAAATACCATAACAATGTAATACATGTGTATTACATATACATCATCCATTTAGCACTTTTGGCACATCATCAGATAGTGTGTGTGTGTGTGTGTGTGTGTGTGTGTGTGTGTGTGTGTGTGTGTGTGTGTGTGTGTGTGTGTGTGTGTGTGTGTGTGTGCGTGTAATATTCTTGATATCTGACTACAGTATTATTATGCTCCATTAACACGCTCATTTTGTTGTGATAAATATGTTATATTACATGATTTTTAGACTTCTTGGACATCATACTGAATATGCAATGTGATGTGCCTATTTTTTACCATAAATTACAATAGTCTACCGATGCTATAAAACAGCAAGTGTGTGTCTTAGTGATGACTGAATCTTTATTTTAAAAGTCTTAAAGCCCCAAAAAATAAGAACATCATCCTTGTTCGATGGTGTAGCGCACATATTGTTTACATTGCGACCGGTCTAGCTAGGGACAATCAGCTATCCAGTGAACAAACAGAGATCAGAGCCTTGCACTCCCAAAAGAAGCCCAGCTTTTAAACAGACCTTGTAGTGGAACTTGCAGTAGACAGCTTCGCCTGCGGCATTGACCAGTTTGAAGGTGTGGGAACCGTAGCCGTTCATGTGGCGGTGACCATCAGGCAAACCTCGATCACTGAACAGGAAAGATACCTGCATGTAGAGCAGGAGTGGAACATAAAAGCTCAGCTCATTACAGACAACTTATTTAATTTACAGTTATATTCTAAAGCATTATTTTCATTTCTGTCATCAAACTGATCATTAATCTGAACATACATTATTTATAACTAAGAAAATCAACTCAATATGTGTTTTTGTGCATCTGGAATGAGCATAAACAGTCATTAGTGGTAGTAATACTCCATATAGCTGTGTGGTGTTAACCGGCAGTCTGACGGTAGTCAGGAGCATTTTAGAGTATATACTTAATGATAAAACAAGTCAAGAAATGCAGACATGATGAGTGCGCACAGTTGGATAAAAAAAGGTAAAGACATAATTAACATAATTATTCGTAGATTTTTTATCTTTGTCGGGTTCTGATTCTGATTTATATAGTGTTAATGTCATAGAAATCAGGAAGGGCTAATATCTGCAAAATCACATTATAAAAATCACTAAGAGAAAATGTGTTTGTTATAAATATTCATAAGAAATGCTACAAAACAAGAAAACAATGTTCTTAAAAAGCATTAAACTTAGAGAATCAGCAGCAACCTGATGCAGACTCTCAGGTCTCAGGCTCCAGAAATCCCAAACCATGTCAGGATCCTTCATGTGGGTTTGAGGATTGCGCTTCTGGGAATGGATGAAGGATGGAAACTGCAGGCAAAAAACACAAATAAACAAATAATAATGTGTTTGATGTTCTCACTGCCATTATTGCTTTAAGCTGATCTACCAACTCACAAGCATTGCATCCCTGATGAAGAAAATTGGGGTGTTGTTGCCCGTCAGGTCCCAGTTACCCTCTTCAGTGTAAAACTTTACGGCGAAGCCTCGGGGGTCTCTAACGGTGTCAGCTGATCCTGACTCCCCAGCTGAGGACAAAGGATGCACAAAGAGTTCAACTTTACCCAGTATCTCAAAACGGTGGCAGAATTATTAAAGGTAAATAAGAATTTTGCATTACTAAAGGAAAGAAAAGTGAATTTCTTACCAACAGTAGAGAAACGGACAGCAATGGGTGTGGTTTTCCCAACGTGTTCAAACACCTTGGCCTTGCAGTAACGTGTAATATCATGAGTGACTTCGAAGTAGCCGAACGCCCCTGCATCATGGGAGATTTAAAAAAAAAAAGGACACGTTAATACGTTAATAAGCAACCTTGTCAGAAGCATTAAATGCTAATCCTCAACACAAACACAGCTACGGTCATATTTGGTACCATAGATAGAAGACATGCAACACTAAGGAAAAGCTATAAAAACATAATAGCTTTTACAATGCTGCTTGGACGTTGAAGAATATTATGCATTAGAAAAAAATAAAAAAAATAGACCCAAGGTGTCTTTGTGGTTTAGCAACGTGACACAATTCATGCAATTACAGAAAAAAAAATTTACTCTCAGGGGTCCAGGGACAAATTCTCCTATCTGATCTTTTAGCCGTCATCTTGCAATTGCATGTGAACCGTGTCCTGTTTAGTGCACAGCTTTGCAGTATTATTATTTTTAATTGTTCTTATTTGTTTTTGTATTACCTTCAATTATTTACACTTAGTGGATTGGTGTCCAATGTGTTCTTGGGATGGGGGGTTAAAATATAAACATGAGTATTGTTTTTCTTGTATTTGAAAAGATGTACTGTGTTACTGATCAATAAAAAGACAATGGAGAAAAAAATATATAAGTTAATGAGCACTTTTTCTAATTTAAAAATATTTTCCTATTTTCGGAAGGAAAAAAATTACAGGGTCATCTTTCTGCCGAAAACAGTCTTTTGAGCGTAAGTTGTTAATTTGAGCGCAATGATTGATTTACATGTCACTGCAGAGACTGATTACCAAAACCAGGCTCTAAAACTATAAGCTAGTGTCCTCTCACCTGCGCCTTTAGCATGAACCACCCTCTCTGGGATTCGCTCTCGGTCGAAGTGGGCCATCTCATCTGTGAAGACCACATCCTGCACAAGCAGAGGGCCCCTGGGTCCTGCCGTCTGAATGTTGAGCTTGTCTCCGATGGGATGGCCACCTCCTGTGGTCAGGACATCCGGTTTCTAAAATAAAAGAATAAAATTAGAAATAGTCCTAAAAGAATAATCAAAATTGAAGTTCATATCATTCATAATGTTTGAGGTGCTTTTAATGGACAGAATCTTCCCCGGCTGCAAATATACCAACTCCTCTGAACGCTGCTAAGCACTGATGGACAGCTGGCTAAACATTTTTTGATATGTCTTTCCCTGGCTCACAAAGAAAACAAACTGAGCTGCAAAACAAAACACCAGAAGTCCCTGTTATCCTGTGTTAGTACTGTGGTTGGCCACCTTTAGATGCAGGAGAGCTACGTTAACAAATAGCCGAACTGCCTAACCTTCTTCTAAAATAAGTTTGTTTTCCAAATAATGCGCAGAAACACAAAAAAAGGTAAACTGCTCTCTACTGCAAGTACCGGTACTTAAAAATTACAACTGTAGTAAAAATGTTTTATGTTGTTCTATGTTACCTTGAAAAAGAAGAAAAAAGAACAGGGTGAACCAAAACACAAAAGGTTAAACAATAGTGATAATAAACAAATTACAACTATATTAAATCACTTAAATCTGTACCAAATTTAAAATCCATCTAAATACTGGGGTATTTTCACTGATTGTTATCCTACCTGCAAAACTGATGCAAAGACTAAACCTAACACAAACAGTACCTTAATCTAGGTTTATTAAAGCAACAGTTTTAATACCATTTAAGTTAGATTTAATTACAATAATCTTCCTAGGATTAAATATTTATTTAAACACACTCTCCAGCCAAAAAAAAAAAACACAAAAACTGGACTGGTGTCTTTTTAATCCACTGTCTTTAAGGCACACTCTTCTCCACTTCTAAAATCCGATTCAACTGCTTTCAAATAAAAAAATCCCACAGGAGTGCAAATCTAGATCTGTGGGTGATTAAGTCTATTGAAAAAGGGAAAACGTTAAAAAAGGAAATAAACTAGATGCCCTTTAATCTTTCAGAGGACACAAAATCAATTTTTATTACATTTTTATTTTATTTATATACTGTTTCTATAGATTTACAAAGTTAGAAAGTTAAGACTAGTTTTAAGTTATCTTCATTGAAAAATACAGTGCTTTTCCTTCAAAAATAAGGACATTTCAATGTGACCCCAAACTTTTGAACGGTAGTGTGTGTGTGATGATTTTTATCATCATAACACCCCAATCAGTCATCTTAGGCTGCATTCAGACCAACCGTGGTGTCTGTGGTGATTTCCAGCAGCACATTATCACTGGTAATCTGACTAAGAGCGAAATGCGCTAATCTTTTATGTTTTAAACAATTGATTACTGGATAAACTACTGATTGCATTGGCCTATTAAAAACAGCTTTTAATAATTCCAATTAAGACTTAGACTTAATTCAATTTATTTATATAGCTCAAATTCACAACACGTCATCTTGAGGCATTTTACAGTTCACCAGATCATACAGTCAAATTGATTCAAAGTTTTCTATCTAAGGAAAACCAGTTGATTTCATCGATTCATTGACACAAATGCAATGCCTCACATTAAGCATGCTTGTAGAGTGGAGAGGAAAAACTCCCTTTTAACAGGAAGAAACCTCCAGCAGAAACAGGCTCAGTGTGAGCGGCCATCTGCCGAGGCCAACTAGGGTTCAAGGAGAGAAATAAAAGACAGACTTTATTGTCATTTTGTACACACACAGTGTACACGAAAAGAGATCTCGTTCAGTACAGCTATCAAGACATTTTCATATTAATTTCAAGCTTCAGTTTCAATGAATAAATTGAAATACAACTTTTTCTGCATTTTTGCTATAATAACTATTTTCTTACACTTTTTCACACGGTACAAAACTTTTAAAGTGCCACAACACTGATTACTTTCAAAATAATCTTCTTATTTTTGCATAATGCTGAATATATCAATTAGTTACACACTCATATAGTGAAAAACACCAGTAGTTTACAAAGCACAAAGGAATGTAATATTAGTGAAACAACTTTTAGAGTTGAATTGGGTTTAAACCTCATTTCAATGAGCAACAGTGGATTTACTGTTAGAGGTTATTTTAGTAACAGCCCCAGGCAGGGTCATCCCACCCGTGCAGACTGCACTGTTGGCTCGTTATGTAACTAAAAGTTCAAGTTCCATCACATACAGCAGTAGGAATACACCTTCACTTCTTTAAGCTGATTTTAACCTATGCTGGATATTAAAAAAGGGGAGGTTTTAATGCAGCCAGCCTTAGCTTGACGGCGTTGTATTAATTTCAGTTAGCAAAACATTAGCAACCCAGCTCTTTTCTACAAAGAAATGACTGCAAAACCATAATTATAGCAATTAAATGGTTTATAAGAATGTCTGGGATGAGATAAAATGAATAATAAGCGGTCAAAGGCTGAAAAACAAAGGGCGGTTTTGCCTTGTCACCCCTACACGACCTATCACCCAGTTCTTGGATATCAGAGTGCAAAGTAAAATAGTTGAACAAATGCAGCTTTTCTACAAACCTGGGAGCCTCTGCTCTCCTTCCATGTCTTCATTTGGTCGGCAGTTTTGTCTCTGTTGTCCGCCATCTCGACAGCCTCACGTCAGAAGAACCACAAACTGCTAAAGGGGTGTCTTGGAGAAAATGGTTTATCTGTTTACTTTCAGCCACAGAAATCCTTCCTGGACTTTGTTCTACGTCACCCCGCCCCTTATTCGCCCCTCAATTCTGATTGGCTGAGAGGGCTGAACTGACCTACATTTTGCATGGGCTTTTTGCTGGACTTACATAACGTCACAGCTACTTTTGATTTATTTATTAAAATCTTAATTTACTAAAAAAAAAAGTAGAAATTAATGTTTCGCAGATAAGCCATCTTCCTAAATAATAGTTGAAAACAAACATACTCTATTTTCATTTTCTAGAATACACCTGCAGGCACAAAATATGGAACAGTTCTTATAGCACATTATAGTAAATAGTTACCAAAGACTGGAAAACATGAAAACTAATCTACATTAATAAAGTCTGTCTAAATGATTAACTGTTCCACAATTCTGTTTAATGTTAATTAACATTCTTTTTTCAGCTAATTATAAAAATGATAGATTATTTTATTGTTCTTATTGCCCATTCATTGTCTGTTTGCACTGTGAGAGGCCAGTGAAGCTATATTACTTTGTCTCAAGTGTTATACAAACATGGTCTGTTTGACCAATTACTTCAAGTCCACTGAATATTTACCTTGTGTATTTAGGATGTGACTTCTCTTTCATGCATGACATAGACAAATGGTTCAGACATGTTCTTATTGGCAAAAGTAAATAATTTCCTTTGGATAAATAGGTGGAAACACTCTGAAAATACAACTATTTTTATGAACTTATATTTGTTACTTTTTTACACACAAATACACTTTTGAAAATGGAAAATTTCTAAACATAAAGTCATTCTTTACAGACATATTAAGTACTCTCAGTAAAGTGTGAAAAGATGATAAACAGTTGTCAGTTTACTACCATTAGGTGCAAAAAATGCAATAAAAACAACTAACATATATATATTCTGGGAAAATGTTTTTATCGTCACCTTTCTGCCATGCCAGTGCCAAATTTGTTAAAACTCTGACAAGGTATGTTACTGTAGCTTAAAGACTCCAAATCTTTGAAACATGTTTTGTCATACTCACCTTTACCCTTTTACCACTTTACTTCTAAAGCGTTTGCAGTCTTGCAAGTATTTTAAATAATACAAACATAGCAAACTTCTACTCTTTAAATAGCAAGTAGTGTTATATCCTATTGCCTCCTATTGCCAAAAATCTTGCGATATAATTAAGTGTATAATCAATCATAACTCAAAGTCTTCTCTTCAGAGGCAAATGTGTTTTTGAAAGATTGTTTTATGAAGCAAAAGGTGTTTGGAGCCATGCTTCTCATGAGTAAAAAGTATGTTACCATTTATGGATACTGATGTGTTGTCTTGCTTTCCTGTTGCAGACAACATCATGTATTGTTTGCTTTATTTTTTCCACCTTACTAACTTTTCTAGTAGGTGTGTGTCAATTGGGTGTGTAATAGCTTTTTGACAAACAGATAATAATGTAATAAGAACTGTTACTTTCCCCAAACATCATGGAAGGAAGAAGACGCCTAATGTAGGTAAGTGAAGGTATCTCATCACCTATCAACAATAGTTTTGTCCTATGAGACACATTTTTCACTCAGATTTGGACGAAATTGTTCTGAAGTAAGGAACAAGCCTGGGATGAGGTCAAACACAGTCTGTGTTCAAGGCAACAAATGATAGCTTAGGAGATTAAGTATCCAGGCAACCAAAAGTGTTGTTTGAGAAAAGCTGTTTTACTGTAGTTTTTATTCTTTATGTGTCCTCTAAACTAAAGTGTTGGACCAAATATTTTTTATATGTTGAAAGACATTACAATGTTGTTTGACTCTCCAAAAGAAGAACATTTAAAACAATCCACTGGAAAACAAAGTCCAGTGGATTGTTTTTAATTTTCTTTTTTTGGAATGACTATGACCTGGATGACTGAGAATCTTTACCGACCAGGACTACAGAGAGGAGGTGGAGCAGCTGGTGGCCTGGTGCAGAGATAACAGCCTGATTCTAAATATGGAGAAGATGAAGGAGATCATCTTGGACTTCAGGAAGAACCGGCCAAACCATCCAATGCTAATCAACAGCTCAGCAGTAGAGCACCAAATTCCTGGGGGTGCACATCACAGACCACCTCACCTGCACTTGAAACACCACCTCACCAGTCAAAAGGGCACAGAAGCGCTTGTACTTCCTGCTGAGGATGAGGAGAGCCCACCTGCCCCCACCCATCCTCACCACCTTCCACAGAAGCTCCATAGAGAGCGTTCTGACCAGCTGTCTCACTGTGTGGTGTGGAGGCTGCAGCGCCTCAGACTGAGAGAATGTGAGAAGAGTGGTGAGGACAGCATAAAAGTCCATAAAAGACATTTCATCCAAGCTCTACGTGTCCTGAGCCCGGAACATCATCAATGATCCCTCACATCCCCACCATAGACTTTTTTTTCAGACTGTTGAACTCTGCATCACATTATTTATCACTACCCTTTTAATTGGATAATGTTTCTACTGTATTTTGCACCATATTCATTTTGCAATGCACTGAACCTTTACATATTAACGCTCTTTTGCACCATTATTTTAAACTGATTTCCTTTTCTCCTACATTGTTACATTAGGATCACTGCTGCACTTTACATTGGTAATGTTTATCTTCTCCAACTGCAATATCGTTACACGGTTGCAAGCTGTATGCAATTTTGTTTTCCATTCACTCTTTGCATACAAAATGACAATAAAGTTTGTCTACGTCTAACGTTACATTTGTATTTTATTTTTAAACATGCAAACTCCATGCCGAAAGACCACAGACCGGGAAACGAAATGCAAGGCAGCAGTACTACAGACTGCTCCACCGTGCAGTGGATCAAATTTTACAGGTAAAAGCAAAGTGATCCTGTGCCTAATACTGAGGTCTTTTTCTCCCTCCTATAACTACTATTTTATAGAAGTGCAGCATGGCTCACTAATATAGTGAGCTTGCTTTGCAAAAAGGTGATCAATGATCCACAGCAATGAACTCAACCTGAAAGATTATTACTTTTTTCCTCATCAAACTTTATGTTACGTGTTAATTAACCACTGGTCATTTATAGTCAGACTGAATTTTTCAAAGGGAGTTGTTAAAATCCCAGCCTATGGCTTTAGTTGGTTAGATCTACCAGAGCATATTTCTATGAACTTTCCAGCTTTTTCTTTTTACTTACCGGATAAAATGCAATATGAACTTAGACTGGAACTGAAAACTTTACTTCTACTCCTAACTTCTTGTGTGGCCTGTGTTTTATGTTTTGATTTCAGAGTTTATTTTCTTGTATATTATGTAAAAACTCATTTGTAAAACTTACAAGCTACCTTGTGCTTAATTTCTGTCTTTAAAGCTTTTTTTCTTTCCTAAGTATTAGTCGACAAAAAATGAGATAAACCTTAGAACGAAAACGCAGCTATAAAAGGTATTTTGTAAAAATGACAGCATGTTATTTTTAGTTTTTTCCTTCGATATTGTTTGCAGCTCTGTGTGTCTGTGGGTGATCCACCTCTGCCTTTGGTATCTTTTCATCCCTTGGTGTTATTATCTATTTTCAACAATAAAATCCTTTATTAATTTTTTCCCCCTAATTTTTCTATTTGTTTAAAATTGCAAGAAATGTTTGAATGCTTTTTCCAAACTCTATCAACATGTCTAAGAAAGTTAAATAAGTCAATCAGCCTTATTCTTATCAAACTGCTTTTTTTATTTGAAACAGCATTCACACTATACACTGTTTTCTTGAGGCTCATCCACATCAAGTGCCAAGGAACGTCATGCATGGCTGAATGTAGGCTACAGCTTTGTTGAATGCAAGTTGTGACAATGAATGAAAATATTGCTTTATTTTTTGGCACAGAGGAAATGTATTTTGGATTTACGTTATGTTGTTTTTGGACAGTTTTGTAAAGTGAGGAGTGAAATGCAGTTCTGCCAAAATAAAGAAACAAAAATGATTCCACATCAATGCCTGTGGCTGATTATGTGTTAAATGTTATTTCTTCTTACATTTGAAGGTTATGATAAAATACAACTGCACAATTTGCTGGAGAATAAAAAGCCACCTTGACATTCTGATCTTGGTGAGCCTCTTGTCTCACTGCTTTCATTTCAGCCAAGCTGCGTCACTAAGGATGACTCAAGTAGGTTTGACAAGAGTGAACATCAAATTCAGAACATCAAGTTGTTTTCTCTAACTGAAGTGAAATCGCACAGCCAGAACTCAACACTTAGCAAGCTTTACAGAGCCGCTTCCATGATGTTTAGCTGCTCGGTCATAAAATGTAAGCTAAAACATAATTTTCTAAATTGAAGTAGGAAAACATGATTTGTACATGGAATTTTGAGGAAAATGTGGCAATGTAAAAAGCGTTACGGTGCACTACTATTAAATCTGCTTATTGCATTAAAAACAGAATGACGTTAAGAGTTGGCCACCCTGAAACAACTGCTACAGATTACAATTATTTCACCTGGATTAAAGTACCTGGATATTTTTCAAATGTACATTAAATACTAAACAGAAAAAGAAACAAACCCCCAATCCATCTGACTCTTAACAAGATATACAAGCAATTTAAATACAGCTCAAAATCCACTAGGAAAGAATAAATCAATGAGGCGCAATCAATGTCAAACCATTGTTTTTCCTGAAAGAGGATCGACGTCGGTCCTGTTCATCATTCCCATCACATCCAAGAGAGGCTACAACCGGAGTAGGCACCATGCAAGGAGGGGATTTTCATACCTAAAACTGAAAACGGAAACTTTTATTTCAGAGTTGTTAACGGCTGGAAAAAAGGTTTACATATTCACATCTTCCCCTGCTGTCAATAGAGAAAGAATCAGGCTGATTTAGGTGAAAGTTAACAATAACAAAATATTTAATATAATATCCAATGTTATTTTCCTCAATACTTGAAGATATGATTTTAATCCACTTTGGTACCAATAATCACAACTCTAAATTCTAACTATGACATTATAACAGATCTGAACGCGGCACCAAAGCAGAATCCAAAAGAACAGGAGGAGGAAA